CTCTCCCAAGAGCTCTCCCAAGAGCTCTCGCAAGAGCTCTCGCAAGAGCTCTCCCAAGAGCTCCCCCAAGAGCTCTCCCAAGAGCTCTCCCAAGAGCTCTCGCAAGAGCTCTCCCAAGAGCTCTCCCAAGAGCTCCGCTCCCCCACTGTGCTCCCCCTAACCCTCCCCCAATATCCGTTTCCTCATGGCTCTTTCCGATGGCTCTCGCCCGACCCCTCCTCCCATTGCACTCCACGAGCCCCGCCGCCGCCGCCGCGGCCGCCCCCTCTGCGACACGTTGGGCCTCCCCCGCGACACACACAGGACTCTGTCTGAGGCCCGCATACAAACTAATAACAGCGTGCGGGGCATTGTTCCGTGTCGCCTCGTACGAGGGAATCTCGTGCTTTGGCGCGCGGCGTACACCGTTAAAATTGAGAACTATTCATAACTTTTTCCAAAAAATAAAAATAAAAGGTCAATACCTGGGACAATAATTAGTGTATCTCAAAGTGCGTTTGTTGGGGAAGAAAAAGACATGGAGACACGAGTGAGCCAAATTCGTTGGATGGTGGTCAAACCACTCTTAATTGACCCGAGGATAAAGTATGAACGCCGGAGAGAGAGAGAGAGAGAGAGAGAGAGAGGGAGAGAGAGGAGAGGAGAGAAAGAGGAGAGAAAGAGAAAGACGCAACAGGTTTTTATCAACAGTCGTGACACCCAAATTATTCTGGCCGCTGGACACATACGCGATAAGGCGGCTTATGGGGTGTCATAGCTCGTCACGGTGTGTCATGTCAGCTTGTCACGTCGCGCGGCGCCAAAATGCAACGAGCTTAAGCTCATCGCTGTCTCCCCCCCCCCTTCTCCCGCTTTTGCTCGGCTTCATGAGCTCTGCGCGGCGGCTCAAGTAATCTTTAGCCGCTGGCTGAAAATAGCGCCCCTATGTGCGGCAGGGGCCGGCCGGCGCAAAAATGAGTGTGAAAAAAAGGTAACGAGCAATCGTTGCTTTTTTTAAAAAAATGTCTCTACTTTTCCCAAGAACAAAAGGCGTCGGTTATACTGCTTTGTAATAACACACTATCATACGCGGCGCATTATCCCACCACTTGTCCTGCTCCAGCCTCAGGTCCAGCCCTCTCCAGGTACCTTTCCAGGTCCATCTCCAGGTAGCTCCCCAGGTCTATTTCCAGGTCCCTCTCCAGTTCTCTCCAGGTCTCCTTCCAGGTCCCCCTCCAGGTCCCCGTCCAGGTCCCCGTCCAGGTCCCCGTCCAGCACCCTATCCAGGTCCAGCCCAAGGAGCAGGACGCCCGACGCTCCTCGAGGGAAAGGAATCCCGACCCGGCGGGCCGTTTTTCGCCACAGAAGAGGGACGCACATAAATTTGGTCGGACTGCAAATAACACGATTGGTACCAGGGCAGGGCAGGACGACAAAAGGATTCGGGAGAGGCAGGGGGGGGGGGGGTAGAAGGCGGAGGACCCGACGTGGTACAGAGCGCGGGGGTAGGCGACCGAGTCGTTGAACCCCCCCTAAACCGAACTGCGACTACTGGGTGACCGACCCGGGAAGGGGGGGAAGAGCGAGGGGTCATCGAATGAATGCGAAAACAAGCCTCGCGACACCAGTGGTCCGTCTCTCTCTTTCTCTCTCACACACACGCGTGCACAATCACAGAGAGGGCTTTATCTGCCCGTAGATCTGAGGCATGTCCCTCAGTGTGCGCAGTGTGAGGAGTACGGAGGCCACGCGGGGGGTAAAAGTACGGATTCACGGCAGGTGGGGCATGACGCCAAAGGGTCGGAATGCGTTCGTTATAGGTCGTACAAAAAGTGCAAAACGATTTTTCAAGAAGCCGTCTCTCTCTAAAGGCGCCGGATTTGAAATTTAACCTTAAGTGCTCGGAAAACGATCGATACCCCTCCGCGGCGGGTAATATGAAATACTCTTCCTGGTGGGGGTAACTTCATGATAACATCTAAAATCACTATCAGTTCACCTGTACGCAATTAGAACCGCATATAGTGTTACTAAACGCAGTGCTACGAAATTAGTGCACTACACTGGGGAAAGAAAGTTAATAGGAATCAACATTCTTCTTACGGTGTTAATGACTTAAGTGTCTTTACAGAGGCACTAAAAGATTCGCACTCCTGGAACGACACTAAAGTCATTAACACTCTAAGAAGGGCGTTGATGCCTGCCATTGTTTTTTTCCAGTGTAGGAGCGTACTTTTTCGGCAAGCTCTTCAGCAAACCACCATACGACGGACAGAGACGGACGGGAGTGAATTCATAAGTACACACCGTAGTAGACTGACGACCACATGACTGTTATGATGAGCGCGATCCCGACAACTAACAAAGCCAAAAAAAATCACCACCCGCCTCCACCTTGCAAGGTGCAGGGTGGTAAGAGAACAGGTATCAGGTGTTCACATCCTACCGTATGCGGTCGCCATTCCTGCGGGCGGGTTCCTACCCTGCACTGGAAACGCATGTGTGAATGTCGCTCACTTGTAGGTGTGTGAATATCCATTCGTACACTTACGGGGGTAAAAGTGTGATTTTTTCCTAGAAAATTCACACCTTTACCCCCCTAAGCCTACGAATGGATATTCGCACACCTAGAAATGAGCGACATTATTCACACACTTGCGTTTCCAGTGTGCCTTGGACGCAACACCACCCAACTGCTTAAAAAAAAAACGCTTGCAATTTTGCTAAGACGATTTAATTTTTAAAACAAGTAGCCGCGTACTGTGCTCGTTCAAAAAAAAAAGACCGTGCTTGGATTGTTTTTTTAAAAGTTTCAATTATTTCGACGCCGTTTGCCCTCCTGTTGGCTGGACGCTACTCAACGGATATGCAGCTCCACACATTTTCGCACGCCAGTCGGACGTGACGGTGATGAGCCTCAGAAAAAATATTTTTGCACACTGCAGCAGAGGAGATAGGGGGGAGCGGCGGGAGCGTTCCTTGGACCGTGATCCATCCTTATCCCTCCCGAAAAAGAAAATGAAAATCGCATTAATAATTCGTCTTATTTATCCGACGGCCGGTTTCGCCCGCCTACCCTGTCCGGGTATCCTTTCCAGTAAATGACGAATGCTTGTAAACCCTTATCGGGCGCGTCGTTTTATTACGATGGGTGCATCAGGGGAGCGCAGACCCGTGGGACTTCTTTAGATGGCCGAGTTAACTAATCCGCACACTAAAATCTTATGAAGTTTTTATCCATAGCTTACTGTATTCTGTAAACATATTCATTAAGCTATGAACAAAATAGTTCATAGGTTTTTAATGTGCGAGTAGTACTTCAAGTTCTGCGATTTACACGTGAAGTTAGAGCTAGGAAATACGTCAACTAAGGTATAAATGTATTGTCTAGCTAAAAGTGACTTTTCGAGAAGCGTAAACATTTTTATAGAGAATCGTCTCGCAGCAAAATTCAAGATTCGAACGATGTCAACATATGTTAACTTCAAGAACTTTCTCTGCAAACGCCCTCCCAAAACATTAACAGTAACTACTTTTTACTCGATGTTTTAATATCCTAGATCGTCACAAACAAATGATGCACTGGAGTGAAATGGAGCTCTAGAGCCACCAGCGCCTTAGCGCAAGGGGGCCTCCTCGGGCTCTGTTTCGGGGGCCGTGGCCGTGATCTCGACACTCACCTTGGTTGTGCGGCCTCTTGTTTATCCTCTGCAGCACCTTGTTGGGCACGGCGCTAGCGCCCACGACCACCAGCGCGGCCAGGAAGGCCGTACACCTCATGGTGTATGAGTGTGTGTGTGTGTGTTCGAACGCGGCACGAAACACACCCCCGAGAGACGAGTACGAGCAACACACCGTGGTCCGGACCGAACGGAGTCAGGGACGAGATTGGCCAATGTCATGGCCAACCGCCAAGGTTTTAAGTGTGCAGAAAAGCGCGCCGGCCCGCCCCCCACCACCCTGCCGGTCAACACCCCTGCGATGCCCCCTGGC